GCTCCGGATTGTGCCGAACCCCAGACCCAACAGCGCCGAACCACAGTTCTAGGCCAGACCCCAGGGACCCAGGCTCAAACAGAGGGAGCTTGGGCTGTAAGGCGGAACCCCGGGGGGAGCGATGAAAGGCAGAGCCCCCGGAGGCAAGCACATTGCACGCAGAGAAGGGATGGTTGGCTGTGCCGCCGGATTGCCCTGGTGGGAAGGAGACAAAAGCTACAGACTGCTCTTAACCCCACTTCCAATCCCACTTCTAACTGAATTGAACCCCAGTTCTGGGCTCATTGGGGGAGAGACTAGAATGTTTGGTAGCAGGCGAAACTCGAGGGCACCTCACTCTCAGAGGTGCTTGCAGTGAGTACCAAAGGACACTGAGGAACACTGAGACTCAGGAGCCACATAGGGCGTGGCTGACGGAAGCCAAGGCTGTAGGCTCCACCCTGAAAATCCACCCCATCCAAACAGAACACAGAGACTTTTAAGATTACCAACTCAGGGAAGCTGCAAAAATGCCGAGACAAGGAAATAGAACACAAACGAGAGTACCAATTGGAGGAGAAACCAAGATGGCGGCGTGAGTGAGGGGTTGGTCTGCTGCTCCCACAACAATTTGAGGATTGAAACTAATATGAAGGACATCTGTCATCCGGGACCGCAGGAAGGAGGTACTGGGTAGTTAGTGGTCAATGGTTAACATGATGGTGGGAGCGATGGGGGACCGATGGGGCTCTTAGAATGTGACCAGCTGGAGAAATGGAAGAATGGCAGGCATGGAGCATCCAGGCCTGAAGCAGCAGCAGCCAGGCCTGGAACAGCCAGGCCAGAGCAGCCAGGTCTGGAGCAGCCAGGCTCAGAACAGCAGCAGCTGGGCCCAGAGCATCAGCAGCCAGGCCCAGAGCATCCAGGCCCGGAGCAAGCAGGCCCAGAGCAGCAGCAGCTGGGCCTGGAGCAACCAGGCCCGAAGCATCCAGGCCTGGAGCAGCAGCAGCCAGGCCCGGAGCAGCCAGGCCCAGAGCAGCAGCAGCCAGGCCCAGAGCAGCAGCAGCAGCCAGGCCCGGAGTGTTGTGGGGTCGAACCCTGGGTTCAGGGTGTGGAGAGAGAAGGAGTGGTGCGGCCAGTTCGGGTGCCAGAGTGTTGTGTCCGTCATCACAATGGACTCAGAGAGGCTTCTGTGTTCCTTCACCCAAAAGGACAGAGAGTTGCCCAGACGACAGCAAAGTGGGAGAGGAGAATTGAAGGTTACACAGGGGACTGGGGTGCCAACATGGAGTCATGTGAGGAAATTAAAGACTGGAGTGGAAGCTACTTCTTTACATGTTCATGCTGGTGCTGGCATCTGTTGGCTTCCAGTCTTCTGCAAAGTCTTGTGCAGCAAGTCCAAGGACTCTGAGTGAATCTACACCAGCAACAAAAGAGACTCACTTAGTAGCTAAAAATATTAATATGTCCATAGTTCTAATTTCTCATTTAGCTGTTTTGCATTGGCATTGTTGTTGTTGTTTAATAGCCAGAGTTTTGCTCTTGACATTCGGGTTTTGAAAGTAGCGTGTGTGTGGTTTGGTTTTTGCATTGGCATTGTTTGCAATTGTTTTTAATTTTAGAGTCCTGTTATTGATGTTTAGATTTTATTTTGATTGGTGAAAAAGGGTGGGGTGAGGAGAGCCGCCTGAGAAGGCACGCACATGGATGTTCTTTAGATTCTTGTCGGCTGGGCCCGAGGGCACTGGCAGAATCCTCTTATCAGTGCTGATTTCTTGGTCCATGTGCTTGGAATGGGGAACAAGTGGGACCTTGGCTTGCCCAAGTCTCCGTGTGCTAAATCTTGTGCCGAGGAAATGGGGAGCTTGCCCAGATTTTGATGAGTGGGATCTGGGCACACCCGTTTTTTTTTTTTTTTTTTTTTTTTTAATATATTTTATTGATTTTTCACAGAAAAGGAAGAGTGAAGGATAGAGAGCAAGAAACATCCATGAGAGAGAATCATCAATCAGCTGCCTCTTGCACACCCCCTACTGGGGATGTGCCTGCAAACCAAGGTACATGCTTTGACTGGAATTGAACCCCGGACCTTTCAGTCTGCAGGCCGACGCTCTATCCATTGAGCCAAACCGGTCCCAGCCCAAAATTCCTTTTAACCTTGGACTCCCCTTTGGAAGCCAGTGAAAAAAAGAAAAGAAAAAAAAAAACAAGGAAATTAAAAAAGCCTGATGAGCTGAAACCGGTTTGGCTCAGTGGATAGAGCATCGGCTTGGGGACTGAAGGGTCCCGGGTTCGATTCCAGTCAAGGGCATGTACCTTGGTTGTGGGCACATCCCCAGTGGGGGTGTCCAAGAGGCAGCTGATCGATGACCCTCATCAATGTTTCTGACTATCTCTCTCCCTTCCTTTCTGTACAAAACCAATAAAATATATTTTAAAAAATAAAAAATAAAAAACCTGATGAACAATATTGACTGTTGAATATAGTGGAGTCGGAAGTATGGAAGGGGAGTGGACTGATGATTCTCAGGGAAGGGAGGAGTGGGAGGTGCGGGAGGAGACTGAACATGGACTGTCCACCTATGGATGAGGACAATAGGGGGTGGGGAATGGGCAGAGGGTGGGGTGGGAGCCTGGTGGAGGGGAAAAAATGAGGAACTTTTGTAATAATATGAACAATAAAGGTTTATTAAAAAATTCATAACTTAATTTTTATAATATCCTGTTATATGTAATCTATAATAATAAAAGTGTAATATGCTAATTAACCACACACCCTCTTGATATCCCCCCTATCAAGAGGGGATAGTAAAAAAAGGATAAGATCTTCCGACGACCTTTCAGACAAAGCCAGGGCTGCAAGGGCCAAGTCCCTTGCACGAATTTCGTGCACCGGGCCTCTAGTTATTAATAGTGAACTACAATGTTCTCTAATGACTGATGACTATAATCGTGTTGCTTTCATTTTCCTTATGTGCCTTATGTGCAGGTTCACCATTTCTCTTCACTATACCAGCAGCAAATATTTTAGCAGCCGATGGCCATGTCATTTTTCTTTTTTTTTTCTTTAAAAAAAAATATTTTTATTGATTTTTTACAGAGAGGAAGGGAGAAAGATAGAGAGCTAGAAACGTCGATGAGAGAGAAACATCAACCAGCGCCTCCTGCACACCCCCCACCGGGGATGTGCCGGCAACCAACATACATGCCCCTGACCGGAATCGAACCTGGGACCTTTCAGTCCGCAGACCAACGCTCTACCACTGAGCCAAACCGGTTTCAATCATGTCATTTTTCTTTTCTTTTTTAAAATATATTTTATTGATTTTTTACAGAGAGGAAGGGAGAGAGATAGAGAGCCAGAAACATTGATGAGAGAGAAACATCTACCAGTTGCCTCTTGCACCCCTCCTACCGGGGATGTGCCCACAACCAAGGTACATGCCCTCGACCAGAATCGAACCTGGGACCTTTCAGTCCCCAGACCGAGGCTCTACCACTGAGCCAAACCGGTTTCGGCCATGTCATTTTTCTTGAATTGACTTGTTTGGTGTGCGCAACAGGAAATATTTTGTTTTTGGAGACAACAAAAATAGGTTTATTTGCATTATGCTTATTAATTTGTGCAGCTATTCAGTATCTGGTAAGTTAATGTTCAAGAAAAATATTAATTTTTATTAAAATGTTCTATCATTTTATGTTAACAATTACTCATTTATTTCAGCCCTTTGTATTCAGCACGTTTCTATAGAAATAAACCTACATTTCTATGAAGATGGCAGCTTTAAAGGGTCCCAGGCTGTGGACTCTATACCCAGTAGGGGGTGTGCAGGAGGTAGCCATCAATGATTCTCATCATTTTAAAAAAATATATATTTTATTGATTTTTCACAGAGAGGAAGGTAGAGGGATAGAGAGCTAGAAACATCGATGAGAGAGAAACATCGACCAGCTGCCTCCTGCACACCTCTGACTGGGGATGTGCCCACAACCAATGTACATGCCCTTGACCAGAATCGAACTTGGGACCTTTCAGTCCGCAGACCGACGCTCTATCAACTGAGCCAAACCGGTTTCAGTAATTCTCATCATTGATGCTTCTCTCTCTCCCTCTCCCTTCCTCTCTGAAATCAATAAAAATATATTTAAAAAAAAAAAAGTTACAGTGGAGGCGGACAGTGGCAGCAGGATTTGGGAGAGTGAACCACTTACTGGACTTTTTCTCTGAAGTATTTTTGTTTGAAGAAGAGCTTATGCGATCCTGCTTAGGCAAATAAATACCTCAGTAAGCTTGTAAGTCGAACGCTTTTAGCTTCCCATCCCTCCCCTGAGACTCGCCCGACTGCGAGTTATTTCATGTTGTTCCACTGACTTACACTGTCCAACCACCTGCACAGGATATACAACAGCCTTTACACTGTTGTATGGCTCTCTTAACAAAATTATTTTAAAAATTATTTTATATGTTTTCATTGATTTCAGAGGAGAAAGAGAGATAGAAACATCAATGATGCGAGAGAAGCCTCCTGTACAACTATCGAGCCCACAGCCAGCCTGTGCCTCCTGGCTCACTGGTCTGTGCTCAACCACTGAGCCATGCCATCTGGGCACAAAATTATTTCTCAAACTTGAAAACTTTCCTCTGTATTTGAGGGTTGGAGGAGTCGGGGTTTGAAGGGCAGACGAAGGGGGCAGTGGTGTCTTTAGAGATTGCCTGGGGTTGGGTGTTGCCCACAGAGAACTATCCCTCTGCTTGTGGTTGTTGAGCAGACCTCCTTATCGGCTGCAGACATAAACGGGTTCTGTCTTGTCCGGGACTCAGTCCTTTAGCGCTTTCTGTGTGCCGGCGAGAAGGCTCAGGGCGTCTGGGAGGCCCACAAGGCCCGCCCCCAGCGCTGCTTCCTGGGCGCCCCAGTTGCTCACCGGCACCGTAACCGCCGGAGTCCCAGAGTGCAGGACCAGCTACATGGGAAAGGGTTCCTCTCAGAACACACTGGATGCTCCTTTGATCGTGCTGCTGATTCGTTAGCAGAATCGAAGTCTGGTGACTGTTGGACGTTCTGTGAGAGGATGACCAGCTTCCTTCCTCTTTCCTTGGTTCATCTCCGGAACCCTGATGGACTCAGGCCCAGTCCTGCGTGGACTTTGAAGACTAAAATGCTTCAGAATGTGCATCCCAGTTGCCTGCAGCTGCTTCACCCACGGACAGTTTTAGCGTTGTTGCTGCTGCTGGGTGAGTGAGGGCCTCCCTGGGTGAGTGAGGGCCTCCCTGGGTGAGTGAGGGCCTCCCTGGGTGAGTGAGGGCCTCCCTGGGGTAGGGTGGTTTCCACCAGGGACCTGCTGGTGAGGAGCAGGCTGGGCCCGTGGAGCTGGGCAGAGAGAGAAGCCTGCCTCTTAGCCATCGGCCAGTCCCTAAGCCACAGTTCAGAGGCCCTTCCACAGTCCCTGCACCAGGCACCCACGTGGACTTTGTAGGGGAGACAGGGTGAGACTAGAGCGTGAGCAGTGAGCATCTTGCACCACATCCAGGGAAGCAGGCTCTTGTTGTGGCTCCCCCACCCCCCACAACTGCATCTGCTCCCCGGGCGTCCTCTGCACCTGCTGACCCGCTGACTGCCCTCTTCTCTTTCACAGCCTCTGCAGACCGGGGAGCTGGTGAGTCTGCTGAATGCGTCCTGGTGGTTGAGTGGGCGTGTGCAGTCCCCTCTTTAGAGGGGCCTGGGGTTTGGTTCTTGGTGAGACTCCTGCTGGATCCACAAAGACAAAGGGTTGCGGCGCCGGAAGCACACGGGGCTGTGGGTGGTCTCCAGTGGACTCTGGCCCAAGGGCCCTGGAGGAACCCGTGGGCCTCCAAGGTCACTTATCCGCCCGTCTGCTCCCAGCGCCAGGTCTCCCCAAGGCCGTGCTGAGCCTCCAGCCCCCCTGGCTCCAGGTGTTCCCTGAGGACAACGTGACTCTGAGCTGCCAGGGGGCCCGCAGCCCAGGGGACAACTCCACCCGGTGGTTCCACAACGGGACCGCCATCCCCGCCCAGGCCCAGCCCCGCTACAGCTTCAAGGCCAGCAGCAGCCACCGCGGGGCCTACCGGTGCCAGACGGGCCAGACCAGCCTCAGCGACCCCGTGCACCTGGACGTGACTTCCGGTCAGTGGAGGGGCCGGGGCTGGGAGGCGGCCTGAGAGCCGCTGGCCGGCAGAGGGTTCGGAAGGGGTGGCCGCTTTCTGGGAAGTGTGGCCCGCGCTGTTGGAAGTGGTTTCTGCCCAGTCATTTCCCCTCGCACCCCTCCTCTTTGCTTCTGTGGGTTCCTCGGAATACAGGAGGCTGCTTGGCCTCAGACCTGATTGAGCAAGAAGGTGACAAGGCCACAAACAGGCCCCTGGGGTGAGAGCAGCAGAGGAAATATGTGTGCAGCCTGCCTGCCCTCATGGCCGTGTGGTCAGACGGCGGCTGGAGACCCACAGGAGGCAGAGGCGTGTCTGGGCACGCCGGGCATGGGTGAGGAGGGCGAGGGTCAACAGAGGAGGAATGCACGAGGCCGAAGTGGGGAGGGATTTGAATGTGTCAGGTCATCTGGACCCCAGATGGGCTGAGCCCCCATGGCCCAGCCCCCAAAGACGGGGAGTCAGGCTGGTAAGACTCTGGGCAGAGAACTCTGTGCACGTGTGGGTTCCGGGGGGGACAGAGAATGGTCTCAGCCAGTGGAATGTGGTCTCAGCCAGTGGCGTGTCCATTGTGAAGTGGCCTCCAGGCCCGCTCCCAGGGGAGCTGTCAGACTAACGAGGAGGCCTTCCTCGCAGGCAGGAGGCCAGGGGTCGTGGGATCTGGAAGATGAGGCAGAAGTGGGGGGAGGCTTGGAGTTTGATGCAATGACGTCATCTTTTATTCCTGACGGAGATGAGGTCATTAGATGCTTTAAACTGATCTGACTTGGAGTTACATATATGTCTGACGTTCAGCCTAATAGACTGCGGAGAAACCCTCCTCCACAGGAACCACACCCCCGGGTGTGAAATGGCACCTTTGTGCCGGAGCTGGCTGATTCAGGGCGCTGCGCGGGGCAGGCAGCGCTCAGTCCTGTGTGAGGGGGCTGGGCCGTCTTCTAGATCCTGCTTCCTCAGAGCCCCGTTTCTCGGATGGAGCCCCAGTGAACGGCCATCGGGACTGACCAGGGGTCCAGAACAGCGCTCCCCGCCTGGGTGACTTTGGCCTGGGAATTGTTTTGAGCTGAAGGTGACTGAGACCCAGCAGGTTCCTGAGGAGCCCTCACCGCTCCCGGAGAGAAGGCAGAGCTGTCACCAGCAGGAACTGCTTGTGGCCCATGTAGAGGGCAGGCACACCGCTGACTACTGCACATCTCCTCTTCGCATGTCCTGCCCTTCCTCCTCTCCGAGGCCCCGGGCCTTGCCTCACCCTTAGCTCAGGTCATACACACCTCACCCAGCCTGTCTCTCATGTCTGTGCTCCTGCACATACTAGTGTGCACGCACTTACGTGTGCTCATTGTTCCTGGTTATTTAACTATTAACCAAACAAGAACCTACAAGGTTCCCTTCCTCCCCCGACTTGGCCACCACACCTGCCCCTGACGGCACAGCCGTCTGCCCTCTGCCCACGGCCGCCCCAACAGCTGGCTGTGCTCCCGACTTTTCCTACAAAAAGTAGAACTTGAGATTTTATTATTTTATTTTTTTAACTTTGAAATTTTGCTCTGATTTAATTTTCTCTGAAAAGGTAGATTCTACATGATGGTAAGAATGCTGAAAGAAAACTGACAAGTACAAACTGATTTAAGAGACAGACACTCAAGGTAAATTGTAACGGAAATACAGTAATGAATTTTGGCCTGATAACCCTCATGCTGTGTTATAGCAAACACTAAAATCCATGCAACAGACAAATTAGTGACATTAGGACTTTTTCTCCAGACTTTCTGGGGAAAATAAACAATATACCGGGGTGCTTTCATAATGAATTATTCTTACTTATGACTGATTTTCCCAAGTTTTCAGTCATTTTTGATGAAAAATCATCCTTCAAATAGAAGACCAGGTAAACTTACATGAAGACATCAGGTGTCTTTTGATCTCCTGTCTGCTAGAGAACTTGAGATTTTAAAGACCTTTGCTCTGAAGGATTGCTAGAGGGAAGCCAGCTGGTCCCACCCCTTCACTGCAAAGAAGCGCAGCCACAGGCCTCAGAGCCGAGGGTCTCCTGGGAAAAGCCAGGACCAGAATCCTGACTCCAGATGCGTCTCCCGCCGTCTCATCAGCCTCCCCCCCTCCCCCCCCCGCGTTCCTCCACAGTCAGGCTGTCTTGGCTGAGCGATCACTTAAGTAAGGGGCCTTGAGCTCCAGTTGAGTTTTTATAGCAACTGGAGAAGGGCTTTTCCAGTGTCTCTGAAACGTGCTTTCCAGACCGTGCTCCTCAGCACCCACTTCCTGACTCTGCCTCCTCTGGCAGGAAGGGTGCCCGAGCTTGTGGCAGGCAGGGAAGCCTGTGCCACTGCTACTCTGGTTCAGTCACACGGACCTGAATCAAGTGCCCCGCACTGCTCTGCGGGTGGAAGGTGGGTGAGGCCTCACCAGGCCCCACGGTCACTCCTTCCCTTCCGCTTGGAGCCCGGCCCACAGCGCTGTGCCCGCTGTGCCCGCAGACGCTGTCACCTCCGGGGCACCACCCTCCCTCCGGGGCAGCTTCTAAGTCCTGGCGCCGCCTGAGGGGTTCCTACTCTTCCTACCTGTGACTGCAAGACTTCCTCCCTCAGGCCCGCAGCCTCAGGGTAATGGAACGGCTGGCCTGCCAGGAGGCATCTCCATTGCTGCCCCCCAGTGAGGCAGCCCCACATGGGCTGCAGGGCCAGCATGCAGCCTCAGACCCTCTCCTGCCCTTTGTGTCTTCCAGCCTGGCTGCTGCTCCAGACGCCCCGCCTGCTGGTCCCGCAGGGGGAGCCCATCGTGCTGCGGTGCCACAGCTGGAAGAACTGGCGCCTGTACAAGATCACGTTCTTCCAGGACGGGAAGCCCAAGTGGTTTGCCCACACGAACTCCAGCTTCTCCATCCCACACGCAGACGCCAGCCACAGTGGCGCGTACCACTGCTCGGGGTTCCTGGGGCAGACGCTGCACTCATCGCAGCCCGTGAGCATCACCGTCCCAGGTGGGAGCCCTGCCCAGGTGGCAGGAGGGAGGGCAGGGTCCCCGCAGCACCGGCTCCCCTGGGCGGGCATCCAGGGGACCGCCCGTCCTAGCTGCACTGCCGGGAGGGCATGGAGCCCTGTCCAGCTCCCTCCTGAGGGACTAGGAAACGGTGCCACACACTCGGAGTTCAGCTCTCGGGATAAAAGACGCCTTTCGCCCTCTTACCTCCTCGCAGGCACACCGCCTTCCCCCCTCCACCTCCTGCAGACGTGGCACGTGGCCCTCGGCAGGCTCTGAGCGCTGCGTCCCTCAGCCCCTGTCCGCTTAGCTCCAACCTCAGCTCCGGGCAGGGCCGCCTGGGGCAGGGGCGTCTGCCGCACAAAGCACCGTCTTCTGACCTTGAGGAGCTGTGCGCCTGACCTCGGAGTGTGTCTGTGAGGGACATTCCCGGCCATTTCCGCCGGATGAGTGCGCCCTGGGCTCGGGAGGAGGCGCGGGACACCGAGGGCGAGGTGTGCGGGTTCCCCGCTCACGGCTCCCCAGGCTGGGCCCCAGCACAGTTTGTGTTCATGGCGCACATTTAAGTCTCGAGAAGCCTTGTTATAAAGAAAACTTTTAAACTAAAATTCATAAGGCATTTGCAAAACCTACGTGACCACAAAAACCTTTTCCTCTATGACTTTGTGGGGGAGGAAAAATGTTCTCTACCCTTTAAGCTTCTCTCATCTGGTCTAATAATTAAAATGACATGAGACAGATTAACAAGAAAATGAGCAAATTTAATTACACACATACGTATGGGGACCCGCAGAGACAGAAAGGGATGATGAGGGACATAAGACATTCTGAGCTGAGGATGAGATGAGGCTTGGTGGTGGTGGTGGTGGGGAGGGGCTTTGGCATGAAGGAAGGTCATTGGAAGATGATAAGAAGAGCAGATGTTCAGTTCTGAGCTAGTTTTCTCTGCCCTCTACACAGGCCATAAAAAGTTATTTCTGGCCCTAGCTGGTTTGGCTCAGTAGAGAGCTTCGGCCTGTGGACCCTTTGGTCCTGGGTTCAGTTCTGGTCAAGAGCAGGTACCTCGGTTACAGGCTCCCCCCGGGCCTGGCCTCGTGCAGGAGGAACCCACCATGTTCCTCTCACATCGGTGTTTCTCTGTCTCTCCCTCTCTCTTCCACTCTCTAGAACCAATGGGAAACGCCTCTCATGAGCCCACAGGGTCTGGGTTGCCTCAGCTCAAAACACCCACATGCCAAAGTGGCCCGCGAGGCGAGCCCCCAGCTTCTGTCAGGTCCTCCAAGCAGGTGCAGCGCCCCCTGGCAGGGGCCGGCGGAGCTGTGCTGGGGAGGCGAGGAGACTCGACCGCTGCTCCTGGCAGGCGGCAGGCCTCGGCCCCTGGCCTGGAGGCCTCCACAGCGGGAGGGCGCTCTGGGGGCCTGGCTCTGGGTTCTGACCGGGCCTTTAACAATGTCCTCTCCACCCGCAGCCACGTCACCCGTCCTCCCTCTGTGGCCCCACTTCGCGTTCTGCCTGGTGATGGGGCTCCTGTTTGCAGTGGACACGGGGCTCTACTTCTTTGTGCAGAAAGAGCTTCGGAGCTCAGCGAGGGACAGGAGGAATGACCAAGTCACATGGACCAAGAGCCCTGCGGACAAGTGACCCCTCATCTCACCTGCAGGAGCTGCAGTCTCTGCAGGCCAGACCTCTGCCTCCCGCCCTCCTGCTGGGCGAGCCGCAGCTGCGCTGGGCCTGGGGCTCGCCCTCACGGACTTCCTGCTGGTCAAGAGGACTGACCTGAGTCTCCACAGGCCTCACAGAGGCTCCTCTCTCTCTCCCTCTCTCTCCCCTCTCTCTCTCTCTCTCTCTCTCTCTCTCTCTCTCTCTCTCTCTCTCTCTCTCACACACACACACACACACACACACACACACACTCACTAAGTCCTGCTTCCACTTTCACATCAGCCCCGCACCTGACCTCTAGGCCTGCTCGCCCTGCACTGCCACAGCCTCCTGCCGGGTCTGTTCTGGCCAGAGTCCTCTTAAATGTGCTCACCGGCCACGTTTTTGCTCCAAGCCACACCCTAGCACTCCTTGCACTTAGGAGTACAAGCTAAGGCCTGTGCAGTGCTCTCAGGCCTCACTGCCTCCACCTCACTGCTCCTGTTCCTTCCTTCCTTCCTTCCTTCCTTCCTTCCTTCCTTCCTTCCTTCCTTCCTTCCTCTCACTGATCATACTTCTGCCCAGGGTTCATGTTATTCCCTGTTTCTGGAATGTTCTTTCTTACAGATGTGCCATCATACTTCATCATGGTCTTTACCCAAATGTCACCTTATCAGTGAGGTCTCTGATCATTCAATATGATTCCACTCCCGCCTTCTCCTGACCCGTCTGCTGTGCTTTTCCTCATTGTGCTGTCACCAGCCTCTGCCCTCGGGTGGGGCCCCAGGAGAGCAGGCCTTTGTTCACTGCTGTGCACCCACAGCCAGCGCAGGGTCTGGCACGTGATAAAGAACTCAATCAGTGCTCTGGAATGAGTAAATTCTTTAGCAAATGTAGGGAATTTTAAATCTAGAAACGATGTCATGCAGTCTCCTTGTTTTAAAACGGAGGAAGAGTGGCCTGGATGAGCTTGCTCAGGATGTACGGTGGGTGATGTCACAGGTGCACAAGCACAGACCTTCATGGATGTGGTGCTGGACATAGGACAGGCTTTGTTCTGCAACTTGCTTCTTGTCCTCGGCCATCAGCCTCGGACACTTCACAGCGCTATTGAAAGCCACCGTTTTGGTGTCAGTTCTGTTTTTCCCGGTGCTCCAGCGAAGTTCCTGCCCATGGCAGGTCTCTGAGGGGGAGGCCTGAGCTCACAGGTGACACGGGAGCAGGTCTATGAGGGAGGCCTGAGCTCACAGGTGACACGTGAACAGGTCTATGAGGGAGGCCTGAGCTTACAGGTGACACGGGAGCAGGTCTATGAGGGAGGCCTGAGCTCACAGGTGACACGGGAGCAGGTCTCTGAGGGGAGGTCTGAGCTCACAGGTGACACGTGAGCAGGTTTATGAGGGTGGGTGCACTGGCAGCTGTGATTGATGGATGCTGCAGTCCAAGTTCAGGCTCGGGGTGCTGCCTGGAGCTCTGGGGGCCGGTGGGGCTTTGTGGCTCAGGCTGGGAGGAAGGTGGGGAGCTGGGGCAGGCCGTCCCTGAGGAGGCCAGGCCTCGGCCCCCCTCTCTCAGGCCTTTGGCTAAAATGCCCAACACCCCTGGCCGCTGGCCTCGACCCGAAGGCAGGGAACCAGGAGCGCAGCTTGGAGGAAGCGAGGGCTGATGGAGCTCCTTCCCGGCCGTACCCTCCCCAGGCCCCGCTCCCCGCAGGAGAGCCACCTGAGGAGGAGAGCCACCTGAGGAGGAGAGCCACCTGAGGAGGAGAGCCACCTGAGGAGGAGAGCCACCTGAGGAGGAGAGCCACCTGCAGCTTCTCCTTAACAGCAGTAGTTTTATTAGAATCGGCAAATTCCAAAGGTCACACAACAGCGGGCTTGGCGCCCCCTGCCGCCAGGCGGGTCCCAGGGGCCCCGCCAACGCCAAGCAAAACCTGAGTTCAAACGATATCCGGGGTTCAGGAGGACGAGGTGGAGGCTGCGGCCGCACGGTCCCGCCACAGGGAGCCCAGCTCCTGTGGGGGCCCCGCTGCCAGGGGACGACTGGGCGGGGAAAGGAGAAAAAGAGCAGCTGCACTGGCCAGGAATCGAACCCGGGTCTCCCGCCTGGCAGGCGAGAATTCCACTGAACCACCAACGCCCACACAGACGGCTCCTGCAGCATCCCCCTTCTCCGCGGGCGCTGGGTCCGTCCTTGGCGGGACGGTCGCCCCTGCTCCCAAAGCTGGAGGCTTTAAAAGGGCGGTTACACGGCGGGCGGAGCCTCCCGCAGCTCCGGCCCCCGTGAGGCTGTCAGGCAGGTGTTTGGGGGAAGGTCACAGGGCGAGTGCCTGTCTCACCGCATCTCATCAGCGTCTGTGGAGCCTCGTGGCTCCCCCAGAAGCCGCGGGAGCCCGGGCTGCCTCGCTCTCCGGGGGTCAGAGCGAAGGGGCTGGGGTCAGGCCAGGGGGAGCTGCCGCTGCCCATGACCCTGGCTGTGAGCCTGCGGGGTCCTTTGGGGTCGGAGGTGCCTTTGGGGGAGGGAGGGGGAGCGGAGGGAGAGGGGCTGGCTGGCTGCCCTCCGGAGGGGAGCAGGCCCTGTCCTTTGTCTTAAGACGCTCATTTCTCTCTCGCAGGCGGAACCTTAGGGGAGGTCGGAGGGAGGGTTCAGCAGAACAGTCACCATTTTCCAGGTGGGCTCCTCCAGGCCGTGGTCTCCACTGACGGGTCAGTGTCAGGGCCGGTCGTCAGTCATCACCTCAGGTCCTGGTGCCGCTGAGCTGAAACACCACGGATGCCCAGTGTCACCTCTCCGAGGGGACCTTCTGATCTGCTGGGCATTGCTCTGCAGTGTGCTCAGCTCCCTGCCTCCGTTTCCCTGTTCCACTTGTCCCGGCTCCCTGGCCTGTTTCATTTACCTCCATCATGGGGGCATGTTGTGGGGTCCAACCCTGTAGTCAAAAATAAGACCACGGTACCAGGGCCAGCCTGACAGGTTGAACGGGCAGAGGTAGGGAGGTGGGAATTGAGAAAAGAAAGGAGGACAGAGGGAAAGTAGGGGTAAGGGGAAGAGATCAACCAAAGGACTTGTGTGCATGCATATGGGCCTAGCTAGTGGCCATGGAGAACAGGGGGGTGGGGGCATATGTAGGGAGGGGTTTTGGATGGGAATGGGGGATAAGGACAATTATGTGATACCATAATCAATAAAGTAAATTAATTAATTAAAAAAGAAAAGAAAAGAAAGGGGGACAGGAGAGCGGGATCAGGAGAACTACAGGTCACTGAGAGACTGCAGCAAGTTTATTAACTGCGAAATGCCTTTTATACACAAAACACTGAATCGGAAGTCTGTCAAGAGGAATGTATTCTTTGTTCCTCTAAATCTCTAAGGGAGAGACAAAGCAGAAGGACAAATTCTCAGTACAGCAAATCAGGCAGATTCTCAGTACAGCAAATCTCAGTACATTGTTACAGACTTCTTGGTAAGCCATGAAAGGTGGCTCTCAGTCTACAAAGGTTGCTCTCATTCTCCTGATAACCGCCATCCAAACAAGTCTGGGAAAACTGTGTGGGTAGGGGACCAGCCTTGCTAGCCCCTTCGGGGGCAAGGACCATGTCAGCTTACACCCGGTCTCCAACACAGCGGAGGGTGCTAATTGATTAAAAAAGCAGGCAAACTGAAACCTGTTTGGCTCAGCGGTAAAGCGTCGATCTGCGGACTGAAAGGTCCCAGGTTCGATTCCGATCAAGGGCATGTACATTGGTTGCGGGCACATCCCCAGTAGGGGGTGTGCAAGAGGCAGCTGGTAGTGTTTCTCTCTCAACGTTTCTAGTTCTCTATCTCTCTCCCTTGCTCTCTATTAAAAAATCAATAAAAATATTTAAAAAAATAAAAAAGTAGGCAAGGATTTATTGAGCTGGTCAGCGACGGCCGAGAGAGAGCACCACACACAGGAGGAGTCCACCCTCTCGATGGCACTATTCCAGGTGTAGGCAGTCCTTTTAAAGGTCTAAATCACAAACATTTTCCTTTGTCCCAAATTCTAAATTCTAAATGTGGGAACAGCTGCAGGGTCATTCCCAGCCACATCCTGCTGCACATAGGAATGTGATCCTATCTTGCAGAAGCAGATAGTACAAAAGCAGAATGGAGCAAAGTTAATCTCTAAAGGTTATCTGCAGTTTCAACTCCTGGAGCTACTGAGTCAGTGGGAATCAGTCTCCTGTGGTCCTGGTCCACAGGCACAGGGGAATTACCTTTGTGAGTTTCCAGGTCTCAATCTGGAAGTTGAGGCAACTACCCTATTGTTTAAGCAAGTAAGTGAGTGCAGAAGCCAGAAGAGCAGGGTTAAAGTTCAAACAGCAGTTTTTACCTAAGTATGGTTGCTACATACTTCAGGGCACAGGTCCAATTTGGCTTCAGTGTTCATTGTCTCCTGGGAGTGCACCACCGTCGTGTTCAGTTCACATTTTGTAATTTAACTTTTGTAGTCTTTGTTCTCGGCACGGTGTAAGTGCTTGAATGATCCAGAATAAAGGGGGCCTGAGGAGAAGAAGGGATAGAACAGTCCAAGTTAAATGCCAGCCTTCACAAAGATAGATGAGACGGCCCAGTGCTAACCACATTCAACAAGCATATGGAGCCCTGTAGGCCTTACAATGCGGTTCCCAGGTCTGCGGTCTGCATTGCTAATAAGCTCCTAGGCTATCTCACTAACAGCAATGCCACCTCCATTTACCCTAAACAAAGAGGTCAAAGGCATTTCCCAAGATCAGAGTCTAGGAAATAACCAAGAGTGCAGTTTGGCTGACTTACACTAATCTGTCCTCACACTTAGGGACTTCACACACCAACCCCTTCCGCCAACACTGTCCCTCTTCCCCAAACAACAGCAAGACTTCTGCACCGCCGCTGCTCCCAATCAGAAACCAGCTTCTTTGCATCAGCAAGAAAAAGGAGTTGGAATAAGCCACTCCGTGACTTGCCCTTTCCTCTCTGTGACCCCCCACCCTATTCCCCTGGGTGAGTTCTCTTCCTGGTATTGGTGACTTGGCAAACCTACTGAATTTGAACTGGTGGTGGGAGTGGGTCAGGGCTGGGAATCTGAGGCTTTGCCACCACTGCCTGAGCACTGAAAAGCCTCAGGACAATTACAGCAAACTGAGGGATCTGGGTTGAAGCCTTTTCTTTTCGTCAGAGGAATCACTGCTATTGGCCTGCCCTAGTGTGCTTGGCATTTAGAAAAGGCTCGATGCATTGCTGTCGAAGAAACGAATGAAAAGATGATGGTGTGACTAAACACTGGTACTCGAGGCCTCCCACAACCACATCAAAATTACAACTAAAATACAGAACAACCATCATGCAGAACTGTAACTATTTTTTCTTTTCCACGTCCAGTGCAGGTAGAGAGTGGAGTTCCTGAGTAGAAGTGGCTGGGGATTGAGAAAAAAAAGAAAGGCAAGCTGAAACCGGTTTGGCTCAGTGGTAGAGCGTCTGTCTGCAGACTGAAAAGTCCCAGGTTCAATTCTGGTTAAGGGCATGTACATTGGTTGCGGGCACATCCCCGGTAGGGGGTGTGCAAGAGGCAGCTGGTCGATGTTTCTCTCTCATCAATGTTTCTAGCTCTCTATATCTCTCCCTTCCTCTCTGTAAGAAAAATCAATAAAATATATTTTAAAAAAAAAAGAAAAAGAAAAAGAAAAAAGAAAGACAAGACAAGACACAGAGATAGAAAGAAGAAAGAAAAGCTGGGGCCAGGTGGACTGCTGCCCTCTTCTGATGGAAAGACAGTGACCCAGAGCTGATGCAGTGTGTTCATTTTATTCCCCCAAATACCAGGAAGTTTCACCAAAAGGTCAAGACAAAGGAGAGTATTTGCATTTTTTAGTAGGCCTGAGCATTCCTGGTGCTAGGCTGGATTTAGATATCAAAACCCACTTCCACACACCGTGGGCTGAAATGAAGGTCCAGCTGACAACACCCTTGCCCTTTTGGCGAGGCGTGTTCCCAGGGTGTGGCTTTGCCACTGGGTTCAGCTGACAGAATTAAAGAATGCTCATGTGCCTTCCCAGGGGCACAGAACCTCCACACAGAACCTCCTGAAATCTGGCCAAATGGAAGTCCTACAACTAGAACAGCAAAGAAAGTACACTGAGGCTGGTTGGTGGGGCAGGGGAGAAGAATGGACTGGTCCTACAACCACATGTGGAGGTTTTTTTTCTCCCCCCCCCCCCCCAATCAGGAGGTATATCTCAGCTGCAGAAGCTTCCTGTGAGAAACAAGGAGTCCCAGCACCACACCAGACCCCTGGCCCACGGTTCCAGAGCTGGAAAGAGAGAAGTCCTCATTACTTTGGGTTGTAAAAATCAGCAGGAATCGTGGCTGAGTGACACAGAGGCTGCTGGAGCTCCAGGTAGTGCATTTTGAAGGGCTGGGGTAGGAACTTACAGCCTCCCTCTTCCTCTGAGCTCCAGTGCCAGGCAGTGGCTCTGGGGGATGCAGAGACATCCTGGGAGAAACTGGATTGTCTGGCATTGGAGCAATAACTTGGGGCAGCTTTCTCCCAGATGGGGGAGCTTGCTGAGATCATTGTTCCTGAGCTGGGACCTCCCAGTCTCAGAGCCATATCTGAGTGGCTCACACTGTTGGCTCTGCCCTGGTGATTCCCTGAGATCCAGCCCTACCCAATTTGCAGCCCCACCCAAGCTGTTTGCAGCAGCTTTTCCATATGAATGGCCTGTCCTAGCTCAGGCTTCAGACTTTAAAAAAAAATCCCTCAAGCAAGTAGCAGCTGGTATCAGTGTGACTCAAATCTATCAATAAGAGGTCCAAGATCTGGTGCTAGCAGCAATCTGCCTTGCTTCACAGCTGGATCTCTCCTGAACACTTTCTAGCCCTATACAAGTAGCAGCCACTTGCAGATCTCTCTGTAGCTCCAGCTCAATGGCCCCAGGCAGTGGCTGATTTTGCACGTTCCGAGGGGAGAGGCAGAGCCAGTCACCCAATGGAGAGCTTCAGACCATAGCTTACATCTGTGCACATCCACAAACAACGCACTCAAAGGAAAGGCTCAGTGAGAACCCAATCAGAAGAGCAAAAAGAAAAAAGAGTCCAAAAATATGAAGATAGTGTAAGGACAAGTTTAAGCATATCAACATTCGCATTATGGGTGTACCAGAACAATAACAGAGAACAAAATATTGAAAACATATTTGAAGTAATAATGACAGAAAACTTCCCCCACCTGATGAAAGAAATAGACTCACAAGTCCAGGAAGTGCAGAGTCCCAAACAAGAAGAACCCAAAAGAGGCCCACACCAATATACATCATAATTAAAATGCCAAGGGCTAAAGACAAAGAGAAAATCTTAAAATCAGAAAGAAAAAGTTAGTTACCTACAAGGGAATGCCCTACAACTATCAGCTGATTTCTTCAGAAACTTCTCAGGCCAGAAGGATATTCACAGGCAAGAAATATTCAAAGTGATGAGTAGCAAGGACCTACAACCAAGATTACTCTACTTAGCAAAGCTATCATTTAGAATTGAAGGTAAGATAAAGAGCTTCCCAGACAAGAAAAAGCTAAAGAAGTTCATCATAACCAGACCAGTATTACATGAAATGTTGGACGGTATTCTTTAAGAAGAGGAAGAAGAAGAAAAAGATTAAAAATATGAACAATGAAATGGCAATAAATACAGATATGTCAACAATTTAATCTAAAAATCAAAATAAACGAACAAGAAATCTAATGAACAAAATAATCATTAATAAAGAGAAACCAAGATGGCGGGGCATAGGTGAACAGCTGGTCTGCCGCTTGCACAACAATTTAAAAAAATTAAAACTAATACTGGTACAAAGGACATCTATCATCCAAAACCACGAGAAGGCTGGCTGAAAAGCTGAGGAGCCTAGGTATGGAGGCACGCGAATCGAGCTGGTGGTGAATCGAGCTGGTGGCGGGCGACTGGGCGCTCAGAGAGGCTTTTCCTTTCAACCCAAAAGGAAACAAGCTCCCTATCACTTTGAAATCCAGTTTCTGGGGTCACATGGGGGACCCAGACGCCTCCGGGGAGAAGCTGGGCCATCAGGGCTGGAAGTGAGGGCGACTCATGCAGAGGTGCTGGCAATCATTGTTTACTGCGCTGGAGCTGGGACTTGGAAACACGGAAGGGCAGGGACAGCTGATGCAGCCATTGCTGTTAGCCACGCCCCAACCTAGTGATGTCCTGAGACCCCGCCCCACCCTGAGGCCCCGCCTGCCCGGAGACTCTGTGGCAGATTCTACAGACCCTCCCAGGCACCACAAAGCTACTTTTACATATGAATGGCCTGTACTGAGGCAGCTTAACCATATATAAACAGCAGCTCCAGCAACAAAACCACCAAGTTCCAAGCAAACAGGAGAAAACTGTAGTTCTCGCTGTAGCTCCTGAACTTAATCCCATTGGAGATCCAGAAGCCAGTGTTCCTAGTGGTCAATTTCAACCACTCACACCCATAAGTGACACATTCGGGAGACGGACTCAGTGAGCACCAAAGCCCCACGGAAACAAACCGTATCTCCAGCGCAGCAGTTCTTCCTTTAGAGACACAGTGGGATCTCACAGACAATTGGCCTGGAGTCAGTTCCTCCCAGAGCACCAACAGCAAACAAGGCTTAATTATACCAAGACTTTGCACTCAGCACACAAAGCGATATACCGTATTTTTCGGACCATAAGATGCACTTTTTTCCCCCAGAAGTGGGGGGAAAAAGTCCCTGCGTCTTATGGTCCAAATATAGCCTATACATATACTTTAAAAAAAAAGTCTTTTTACTTGCCCGGCTCTGTGTGGTCTCTGTGTGCTTGCCCAGCTCTAAAATGGTTCTAAATGCTGCTGTTTACTTTACAGGGTTGATTACATGTGTTTATGACTGTGATGTTGGGTTTTAATGCACATAAAATATTTTAGGACACTATTTGTTTCAGAATCTTTTTTTCTTCATTTCCCTTCTCTAAAAACTGGTGCGTCTTATGGTCCGAAAAATGCGGTACCAAAAGCGACCACCTCAGGTGATTGGGGAAGCTGCTAGGTCACCTACCACACAAAGCCACTCCATCAACACAGTGAGGAGACACAGAAACATATCACGAAAGGGAGAGATGGAGGAAAGTAAACTACTGAACGATACAGAGTTCAGAATCACATTTATAAGATTACTCAAGAATTTTCTAAAAATCTTTGAGAAACGTAATGAGACCTCCAAGAAGCTTGGTGAGACCTTCAAGGACCTTAAAGAGAATACCAAAAAAAAATAAAAAAATAAAAAAAAAATAAAAAAGGAAAAGGACCAGTCAGAAATTAAGCATAGAATCTCTGAAATAAAGAATATACAGAAACTCAACTATAGATCAACATACCCCAAGAACCAAATCAAAGATCTAGAATATAAGGAAGAAAAAAAAAATCACCCTACCAGAGAAGCAGAAAGAAAGAAGAATCCAAAAGTGTGAGGATAGTAAGGAGCCTCGGGGACTGCTTAAAACGTACCAACATCTGGATTTTTGGGGTGCCAGAAGAGAATGAGCAGGATATTGAAGGACTATTGAAAGAAATAATGATAGAAAACTTTCCCTACCTGATAAAAGAAATAGACTTACAAGTTCAGGAAGCATACAGAACCCCAAACAAGAGGAATCCAAAGAGGAGCACACCAAGACACATCATAATTAAAATGCCAAGGGCAAAAGACAAAGAGAGAATCTTACAAGCAGCAAGAGAAAAACAGCTAGTTACCTACAAGGGAGCACCCATACAACTGTCAGCTGATTTCTCAACAGAAACCATGCAGGCCAGAAGGGAGTGGCAAGAAATATTCAAAATGATGAACAACAAGAACATACAACCAAGATTACTCTACCCAGCAAAGCTATCATTCAGAATTGAAGGTCAGATAAAGAGCTTCACAGACAAGAAAAAGTTAAAGGAGTTTATCAACACCAAACCAGGATTACATGAAATGCTGAAGGGTATTCTTTAAGGAGAGGAATAAGAAGAAGAAAAGTAAAGGTAAAAATTACGAACAACAAAAAGACATAAAATAAATACCAACAAGTGAATCTAAAAATCAAGTGAATAAGAAATCTGAAGAACAAAATGGGCTGGTAAACATAATAGAATCAGGGACATAGAAAGGGATTGGACTAACAATTCTCTGGAGGAAGGGAGTCTCAGGGGTGAGGGAAGAGATTGGACAAAAATCTTACACCTATGGATGAAGACAGGGGT